TCCAACCCGCTACACCAACCACCCCTCACCCTCCCCATCCCCTCACTCAAGCCCCGCCCCACACAATACCCACACTACCTCGACCCCGCACGCTCCCAGAGCCAGGTCCACTTCCGCGCCCGCCCGCAGCTCGCCCCGCCCCTCGCCTCCGTAGCTGCGAAGCTCCTCTTCGTCGCCCGCCGCGAGGTCTTCCCCATCCGCGTGCCGCCGACGATGCCCCCTGGGCTGACGGTGGAGGACTATGCGGAGCTGAATAGGGGGAAGGCGGCACAGCTTCCGCGCGGGGCCCGCTGGGATTGGGATGTGGGGAGGGCGAGGGCGGTTAATGGCGATGGGGAGGAGGTGGTGGATGAGGAGGACGGGGAGAGTAGGAGGTGGGACACGGAGTGGTGGAGGAGGAGGTTGTGCTATGATTGTATGGCACCAAGACCGAGGTTTACACCGGGTCTGGTGTTCACGCCTGGATGTATGCGCGGGCAGTGGCAAGGGAGGATATACGTGCGTCCGTTTCCTTTCCCTCTCCTCTCATCCCTCTCTAACCCTTCCTTCTCCCACTTCCCTCCCTCTCCTTCTCCCACCTCTCCTTATCTCTCCCTCTCTTATCCCTCTCCTACCCACCCCAAACATTCTACAGATCCCCCAAGGCAACCTCTTCCACCAAGTCCTCCACTCCCCGCTCTACCCCGGGCTCGCAGACGAGGCGGGCCTCTTCTCGGAGCGCAGCCTCGGGCTCGTCATGCAGCCTGTGTTCCTGAACATCCGCGAGCACCATCGGGTGTGTGGGTGTCCGATGGGTGGGTGTGGGGTGCGGTGTGGAGGGGCTGGGGCAAGTGGTACGTCGACGACGACAAGGACGACGACGTCATCAGCATCTTCTTCGACGGATGAAGTGATGGCTGAGGAACCGTTAATGCCAACTTCAAGAACGGGCTCGAGAGCGTCGACGCCCTCGCACTCGCACCCGACGTTCACCGCGTCGTCCCTTCCAGAGGCAGCGGGGTGCGGGATCGTACCCGTTCCTGCGCCTGCGCGTGTGCGGTTCGTCCGGCCCAACGCTGCTGAAGCCGCCAACGCCAACGCTCCAGTCCAACCTCACCCTATACAGATAGCGCCGTTACTCCAAGACGAAGAACACGTCCTCGACGACGAACCCGACAACCACGATGCACTAGGACAAGGAAACGACCCCAACTCCCTTCTGCACACGAACGTACACACCATCGACGCCTCGCTGCGCGCGCGCCTCTACCCGGACCGCATCGACATGAGCATGGCGAATGCGTGGATGCCGGGTGCGTTGGGTGGGGTTAGTGCGTTGGTGCGTGAGGCGTCTGCTGTTCCCTCTGCGTCTTCAGGTGGAAGAAGTAAAGAGGAGGGTAGTGGGAGGACAAGGAGGAGGAGAGACGAGGTGGTGTTTGGTGTGGATTATGAGAGGGGCGATTATAGGGCTGTGGGCGGGTGTGTGTCGCTTGGTGGGTCGGCGTTCGGTGGTACGCTCGGTGCCGCTTCGTCGTCCTCGACGCCCACACCACCACCTTCCTCTTCGACCTCCTCTACGTCTGCTTCCTTCCCCTCCTCCGCTACTTCGTCAAGAACCCCACTTCCTTCCTCTTCCTCCTCAGCAAAGTCATACATCTACGAAACGTACGACCCCGCCCGTCCATCCTCACACGACCCTTCTACGTGTCTGCGCTGTGCGGAGTGGGCAGAGGCCCGCGCGGAGGAGAGGAGGAGGGTGGAGAGGGAGGCGGCGGAGGGGATTTTGGAGAGGTTGATGAAGGGACATGGCCAGGGAGAGGGACATGGCGGTACGGAGGAGCTGGATGTTAGTGGGTTGGATTTGGATTTGGACGTCCAGGAGGAGGATGATAGTATGGACGTCGAAGAGCCCGGAGGAGGGGATAATGAAGGGGACGAAGATGAAAGCGAGGAAAGACTGGACGTCCTAGGCGACGACCTCCCGCAGGGCCAACCGCCCATCCTGGACAAACATGGAACGGTGCTCGTCGAGCCGACAAGGCGGGAGTTCGATCGGGAACGCGTAGGTGTGGAAGGCGGGTGTGGAGGTGGGGTGAGGGATGTTTTGTTAACTGGGGAGGTACGTTCTCTCTTTCCCCTCCGTTCCCTCTCTCCCTTTCTTTCTCTTGACAAAAACCACCCGATGCTGACACCCGTTTCTCCCCCGCCCCTCCCTCTCAACAGACAGACCCCCGCCACGCCGTCTGGCACCAACAGCAATACACCATCTACGGGCGCGTGCGGCCATGGGACGGCCTCATTGGCATATTGCGCGTCGGGAGCGTGCCGTCGGTGAATTATCTGTTTATATGTGGGTATTTGGTGGGCGAGAGGAACTTTGTGGGGGAGTGGAGGGTGGCGCATGCGGATCCGCTGAGGCCGACGTGGGGGAGTGCGGTTGTTATGAGTCGGCGGGAGGGGGAGGCTTAGGGAGTGCTAGTGAGCGCCTCGCCGACGATGATGATGATCTTCGGCTTTCCTGGAATCCTCGCCGACCACCTACATCGATATCGCTTCGCCGCGCCCTCTCTACCTCTTGTCTTCCTACCGTCTACCGTTTGTCATGCACCCCTCCGTCCATCCTCGCCTCGCCCTGTATCATACCATCTCTTCGCACCCTCTATCCCTCTTCCATTCACCAGCACCCTTCATC